TGTTGCCCCCTCGCAACGCGTGCAAGATGATTGTTATGCTTTAACAGCCGCCAGCTCGTTCATCATTGGATGATGGTTGTGACCACACCGCTGTCAACGGCGACCTCGTGGCCCGTTCCCTGGCTCCAGCGACCACCATCCTGGGATTTGCTCGCGAAACGCATGATGCGCTAGGCTTGACCACGAGGACCAACCTTCGATGACAGGCGATAGAGTGCTGGGGCCTTGTCTTGTTTTTTTCTCCCCTTGCTGCTTCGAATCGAGATGAGGGAGAATGCCATGGCCCCCCTTTTTGGAGTTCCGGGATATAAGGCTGCCGTGGCCGGGAACGCCTCGCCCGAAACCTCATGATACCCTCTCTTCTGTTTGGCATATCGACTTCTCGATACCGTAACATATACCCAACTACCGCCTCATCTGGCCTCACACTCTTTTGTCAATTCTTGTTCTACTCACTCGCTTTCTGCTGCTTCCAACACTTCCAACAAACACCTCCTTAATTACAACCCCCTACCATAGAATGGCCCGCGAGACACCCGCCTCTGCCCGCTCTGGGCCGCCCTCCATCGCCAACAGCCATACCTCCTCGAAGCCTCTCCCCGCCCGCCCTGGCACCTCGGGCACCGAGATGCTCCTCACCACCAAGCGTCGCCACGCCTCAGAGAAGCTGCAAAAGGCCCAGCGCGCCGAACGAGCCTACAAGGCCAAGAAGCGCACCGCCATCGCCCGCGCCGACCTCGCAGAGTCCAAGGAGCACTTCCGCAAGTCTCGTCACCATCTGCGCGAGGGCCTGCACATGTTCGCTTGTGTCATCAAGTCCATTCCCTACGTCATCGGCGAGCGCCGCGAGTCCTCCCTGCAGCGGAAGCAGGAGAGGCAGCGCAAGCGTGACGAGGAGAAGAAGAAGCGCCTCGAGGAGCGCTGGGCTGCCGGTGACAGCACCCGCTCCGACAGCGTCGATGCCGGCGCCCCCGCTCCCGAGGGTGAGGCTGCTGCCGACGCTGAAGCAACCCCCGCGGCGACCGCTTGATGGTCAATCCGCAGAGTCGTGTCGGACAAGTGGATGACGCCCGCAACCCCGATGCACCGCGTGCCCGAGAAGCACACCATCGTCGAGCAGCGGGAGTCGCGCTTCTACGAAAAGTAGTAGTCGCGAGCTTCGCTCCATTCACCGTCCACCTGGACATGACCCTGCGGAGATCCCAGCACGGAGACATCTCGCATCGTCTCGACAACACACATCAACACCTGCCACAACATAATCAGCAACATGGCAGTTTCAGAATACTAACATTTCCTAATTCATCATCACAGTATCTTCCTACTTATGCTCCTGACGAGACCACGACGACGAGCCGGGGCGGACAGGCGACATGACACCACTATGAGTCGTCAAGACCTGTTTGCCAAGGGCTCTTCAGCCGGTCTCCTATCAATGTCACATTTTTCCTATGTCAACCGGTGTTACATGTGGTGGGCTACTTTTGGCAGCTCAGCCAAGGACTCTTTTGGGGGTTCTATCAGCAGATTCGTGCCGTTTAAAGCAAAAGTGTATTTTTCTATTCATTCAGATACCACTATTTTGATTCCACCACACTGACTGTGATGGAGGCATCGACCCTGTCTTCCACCGTGACACGAAAGTTCCACACTCAAGTCGCAACATGCATTCTCCAGCATGTATTCCCTGCGGGCGCAGCCACACCTGACAGCTTATGCGCCGCGGTCAATCATCTCCTCACGTCCGGGTCCCGTGCCGATCCACCTGACCTTGGGGCCCTTGCCGTTGACGGCGAGGAACTTCTCGATGAAGAGGACGTAGTCACGGGCCTCCTTGGGGAGGTCGAAGAAGGTCTTGGCTCCGGTGGTGGGCTTGTTCCAGCCGGGGAGCTCGACGTACTCGACATCAACGGTCGCGAGGTAGTCGAGGTCGGCAGGGAAGGAGGGGACGACCTCCTTGGTCTTGGGGTCCTTGTAAGCGACAGCCACCTTGATGGTGGGGAAGTTGTCCAGGATGTCGAGCTTGGTGAGGTTGAGGCTGGGCACGGTCAGTATCTGGTCGAGGGGTTGCTTAAGAACGATGGTGTCTTGGCGCTTACGAGTCGTAGTGGTTGACAGCCTGTCATCGCGTCAGTACGTGCTGTGTCATTTATTCGGATATGGGGACATCTTACGTGGGAGTACTTCACGACGACGAGATCAAGCCAGCCGCAGCGGCGCCTCCTGCCGGTGCTGACACCCCACTCACGGCCCTGCTCCTGGAGCTTGGTGCCAACCTCACCGAGGTCTTCTGTAGGGAAGGGGCCCTATCTTTGGTTAGCGGAGAAGATCACAGCGTATTGGCAGAACACATACGCCTCCAACACTATTCATCATGTTAGCTTTTTCATGTAAAGTGCACGATGGACCAGTTGTAACTCACCGAGTGGTGTATGCCTTGACGACACCGATGGACTGGTCCAGTTTCCTGGGGTTGATGGCGAGGCCGGTGAGAACACCACCAATGCCCTCGAGACTGGTCAGCTACAATTATCACCATCATGTGAGCGCTTCTACTTACGGTGGAAGAACTTGTGACGTAGGGATATGTGCCGAAGGCTGCTTCATGTTAGTTCATTTTCTACATGGAACTCGCCTGGTCTCAACATACTGATGTCAAGCATGAGTGCCTGACCGCCTAATTGATGTCAGTGAAACTCGATAGAAGGACCCAGACGATCGTGTGCATACCCTCGACGAGGATCTTGGTGTCCTTGTTCTGCGCGTCCTCCATCAGGGCAACAGCGTCGGTCACGTAGGACGCGAGGCGGACGCGGTAGTCCTTGAAGCGGTTGATCTCATCTTCGACATCGTACTTGAGGAGGTCGCCGAAACGCTTCTTGTAACCACTGTTTCTGTCAGTATTTGAAAGAGCGGTGGTCAACATGTCAAGGCTTACTCGGCAAGAGTTCGGAGCTTCCTCTCGAAGAGCTCCTCCCTGAACATCTCAGAGATGGTGATGGCGTTTCTCTGAGAACCGTCAGCTCATGGAACACAGAGAAAAGGCACATGCAACCCACCGAAGCCCTGGTGCTGTAGGATGGGCCGATGCCGCGCCTGGTGGTGCCAATGGAGTTGGCGCCGAGCTCAATCTCCTCGAGGCCGTCAACGGCGATGTGGAGGTCGAAGTCGATGGTGCAACGGTCCGAGATGAGGATACGGTTGTGGACGTTCTCGAGACCCTTCTTCTCGATAGTCTCGAGCTCTGAGAAGAAGGTCTAAATCGGCCAGTCAGAAGTGCTCCCTCCGGGGGGTCAAGAGCTACTCACGGGAACGTGAACCACGACACCGCTACCGATCAGGTTCGTGCAGCGCTGTTAGTTTGTCAGTCAATGCCGTCATGAAGAAAGCCTGCCGGAGGTTCGTACGGGGTTCATGAGCCCAGAAGGGAGAAGGTCTAGGGGATGTCAGTGGGTGTTCAAGACAGCCGCGGGGCCTTTTCAACTTACGGAAGTCGTAAGAGACGCCATTGGCAACAATGGAGCTGTCAAGACGCGAGTTAGTAACTGCCTACTTGGGCTGTATCAGGAGTTCGACAGAGCCGGCAGGAGTCGTCCCATAAGCCAAGAGAGCAGGGACAACTCCTGATGCAGCCAGAACAGGAAGGAAGAGACTCAGGGTTGACGTGCTGTCCTGCATTGTGGCCACCCTTGAAGAGTGTCAGCATTCTAGTCCAGACAGGTCGCGGGACTACGGTCGTTTGCCATTGAAGGATATGTTCCAGCGAGGCACCCGCCAGAGTTGAGCCCCTGACCGTAATTGTTCCCCCAGAGGTGCAGGAGGCAACCGGCCGTACAACGAGGGATCATGGCCATGATCGTTCCGGACTTACATGTCATACCATTCCCTCGCTGTTTTGGTGGCGGGTGGCTGTCTTCCTGAGCTCTGCGCGCATTGTATGGTTGCCTCTGGGGTCCAGCCTCTGGCGCATGTGGAAGCAGAACTCTGGCAGCCTTCAATTGCAAACGGCCGTCTCCGCGCAAAGGAGGCCGGGTGGTAATACCTGTGCTCTGGCGCAGAGAGCGAACTGGGGCGAGAGGATGTCGACAATCTTGCCCTTACCCTCGTCACCTGTGCACGCGTGTAAGCTTCCATCTCTTCACGCTCTCTAGTATAATATTCTCCCCCGCCCAGGTCGAGACCGTCGCGGTTTGCTTGCCCATGCCGCGGTTGTAGGTCGGGTCTGGTCGGAGTTGCCCCGCGGCAGGATCGAATTCGCTGTGCCGAAAGATGCGCTTTTTGTCGCATTGACGTGTAGCGCCCTGCTCCAGACATGACAGCGCCGTATTCGAGGAGCATCAAGACAGGCAGCGCAATCGGCAACGGTTCCACGGGAGGGCGAGGTACAACTTCGACGGGTTCCTGAAATTTACTCACCCCACTACAACGCGTATTAGTCGACTGCAATGCGCCAACGCGGAGGAAGAGGACAACGCCCGCGGGGTCAACACGTACCTGAGATCCCAGTACAACGGTCGCCATGATTGTGCTTGTGAAGTGTCGTTGGAGAGTCGCAATCCGCCGTACGATCGAAAACAAGAAGGAAGGGAAAACGTCCGGAGAAGGGGAGGATGTGCCCGTAGGTGGTTGTTAGTCACTGGTTAGTGTCCGTTCATGGATTGGCTGGTGGATGGTGGGGTGGTGGGATGTGGAAGGGGGGCGCTTTGCTGCCCGCGTCATTGCGACTGCTCCTGAAGCAGTTGCACGGGTTCCGAGAAGCGGCGGCGGGGCAGGGGAAGAGGAGGGGCACCGGCAGCAAAGTCTCGGATTGCGTTATCGGCGGCTGTCAGTGGCGGGGGGGCCCGCGGGACAACTGAACCACCCCGTCGCGTCCCGACGCACTGCAAACGCCATGAAAATTTGAATACCATCCCGTTTGCTCCACTCCCCACGAATATGCCGCAAAGTCGAGACTTCTCAACCGGCGAGGAGGTTGACTCCGACATCAACAACCAGTAACAGGCCGCGTGGCTCAATTGGCAGAGTATCTGACTACGACCCAGTAGTCAAATCAGGAGGTTGCAGGTTCGAGCCCTGCCGTGGTCATCGTAAGGTTGTCCCGAGTCATCGGGTGCATGTTTTGTCTTTTTGGTGGACGTGACGTTGGACAGGGCCCAGATCGCAAGGTATGGGTCACAGATCTGGTGACATGGCGGGCTCATAGCATCATGCATAAAACGGAACGCGTTGGATACTGGCGAGTGCTTGGACAATCACGGAATTGCTTCCGAGGAGCTTGTATTGATACTGCCTGGCAGGGCCAGACTACTTTTTAGTCGTCACCAAATAACCGCCCTCTTCTGCTCCGGTTCGTCCTTGCGCACCCAGCCGTCACAGGCCTGACGCTTACTGGACGTTCTTCAGGTGGACATCGCTAGAGAAGTGTTAGCCGTTTGCAATTGCCCGAATCCCGCAACGGAAAGCTTACAAGATGAGGTCCGAGTTGGGGGGGATGGCACCGGGGAAGCCACTGCATTGCTTGTTAGTAATCCAACCAGATATTGTTTGCTCATCGCAGCAAGTCTGTGATCCATTGAGCTTACCGAGCGCCGTAGCCGTAGTCGCTGTGTCAACGTTAGCTTCATGTCCAAAGGCCTCGAGGATGGCTCCAACTTACGCAGTGATGACGAGGGTGGCCTTGCCGCCAACCTTCATCTGGGTGACACCCTCATCCCAGCCTGTCAAGTCGCATCAGTACTGTATTCTGTTCCTTGCAACAGTCGGAGTTGCTCACCCTTGATGACGCGACCGACACCAATCTGGGTGACGAAGTCGCCGCGGCCGACGGAAGAGTCGAACCTGGTGGAAAGGAAGCATCAGCAATATGACTCGTTGAAAAATATGGGATCATGTAGCAGGAGCATTGCTGCCTGCATTGGGAACGTACTGGGAGCCCTTGTTGTCGGGCTTGCTGGTGTCCTTCAGGTAGCCGGTGTACTCGATGGTGACGGTCTGGCCAGCCTGGGGCTGAGCGCCGGTACCCTCGACGGAAGAGTTGACAGTGACACCCATGTTGATAGATGTGGAATGGAAGTTGCGGGAAAGTGTCTGGAGAGGGAGGTTTGTTGTTAGGCTCTTGGTGTTGCCGGAGGAACTTCCTGTGGTTTTTGTGTTTGTACGTACCAGGTTGCGGGTGGGGTAAAAGGCTCGGGGGAGCTTGGTAGAGATGTTCCGCAGCATTTGGAAGATGACGGAAGAGGGCGGCAGATATATAATGGGGAAGGTACCAATAGGAAGCACAATGACTGGTTGTTGGATCGATCTGGGGAGATCTTTGGGGGGGACAAGTCTGCTCAAAGCGTCCAGGTGCGGAAAGCGCGGGCGTCCTGAGGCAGGAGAAGCTCCAACGTCACCCAATGACCAGAGCCAATGACGCCACGGTATCCTGTTAGCAGCCACCGCCCCGCGTCTGCCCCTCTTTGCCCCTCCTTGTCAGCCTTGGAATGTACAATCAGGTCTCTTTTGGCTGTTTTGCCGCTAAAACTCGCTGGTTCGAGACACGCCGCTACTCTGTTTAGCCTACCGCCGACCTGCACCGCCTCCCGTGGTTTCTCAGACCATGATAGCAGTCGACCTAGAGCTCCCCTTACAACAACATCAGACAGCTTGAAAGGCAGCTCTGCTTCAGCTCCCATCTCACGTCTTGCGCCGAAGGACCCCGCTAGGGCGATGTCGCGACCGCTTCGTTCCGGCTCATCACCGCCAATGGCATGGCCCCGACTGGCTTTCAGACGCCTTGATTCGCGGGAGCTTGCCGCACCTCCCGACGCGTGATGAGAGAGGCTCCGACTCTATTCTTGGTGCCCGGAAATGGTCACTTCTGTCAGCCTTGACTGCGGCAGGTGTCCAGCGGCCACCGCAGAACCATCACAGCATACCTAGATTTCAAGATTGGGCTGACGGATCAAGCGAGCACGTGAAGTGAGGTAAGGTAGGCCGGCCATCCGTCATGAAGCGTATGTCATGAAGCGGGAGTTGAACCGGGATATTCTGCTGGGCTGCTGGTTGTCGATGCCTTCCAACAAAAAGAGTCAGACGTCCGGGGAGAACTTTTAGTGTTGATATAGCTAAGGACATGCTTTACCGAAATTGGCCGGCAGCAAGCATTGAGGTGTGGTGTAGCACACCAGACAGCTACCTAAATATCGGATTCTACGTCGCAGCAGTCCTTCAAGTTTTATTTGATTCTAGCTGACGCAGCAGCTACACGACACCAGCTCACTTGGAAATTTCAGCCTCCAAGAAGATGTGATAGGAAGCAAGCGCCTGGGCACCGCGAAAGGGTGCAAGAGGTCAATAATTGTTCAGTTACTTTGAAACAGAAACATCAAGCACACAACGAAGGCAGTTCCATGACTGCTAACTGCACACTTCTAACCTGTTGACAAGCTTTGCTTGAACGACACAAGAAATGCTCAGCACTCTCTCAAGGAGAGTCGTCGTTCTTCCCGGTCGTCATCAACGGCGTCCAGCTGCTGACCATCGCCGCCGGACCGCCAAAACGTCCTCAGAGTGAGACGAGGTGAGGCGTGCCACCGGACCGGCCACGTCCCTGGAACAACAGCATGACGGCCGCCAAGCAAACCTGTCATTACACCAGCTTCCCTGGCCGAAATTGGGAATAGATTGGGGTCTTTCTGGTAACCAGCTTGAACGGCGGCCGTTGTTGCTTCTTCGTGCTGGACCCAGGTGGCCGGTGTTTCACTTTGATCAAACAGGCGACACGCGTGCTGTCAAAAGACGCCGTTGCGTCACGGCCATGCCAGCAAGGATCGGCCTTCGCCGGAGCCAAGGAACCAGCATTTTAATTGTCGACGTTGTCAGGGAAAGGAAGGGAAAGTGCCTGCAATCTCATAACGGGACCAACACACTGGCAGAGATGTGATGACGGTCCGGTCGGTGCCAGCCTTGTTGTCTCTCGTTACCGTGAGACAGTGCCCTCCCCGGCGGGCGCGGGCGGGCCGGCAACGGCGTTGAGGCGCGGGAGGCAGAGTTGCCTGGCAGGCAATAACGGCAGGCCATGCCTCGTCTAGATGCTCCGCGTCACACATGGTGTCTTGCCATTAGGCGACGGAATGCTGATGACGATGCTGCTGCGGCCAGCTCGTGGCTGGGAAGGAAGGGCAGGGCAGGGCAGGGGACCTCGGCCGACGTTGGGCAAAGCGACAAACTTGGGATCGAAGGAATGCATCATGCCTGCTCGTCGCCCCCTCCTTCTGGCCGGCCTTGACCTGACACAACTGGGTGGTCACCGCCTACGGCTGGTGAACACGGGAGAAGCTCGGGGACAGGAGGTCTCAGGAGGATGTTCGGCACACCGCGCACACAATGCTAGCTGGCGGGCTTCGTTCAGCAGCACAGGCGAGAGGTCTTCCGGCGGAAAGACTGCGGGACCTTTTACGAGGCCGAAGAGTCTCGAAACCTCCTCGTGTTCTTTGCCAGACTGTCAGCCGGTCGACCGACTTAGTAACAGACACCAACACCGACACGAGACCGCATTGACGGCTGGCGACGCGTCAAATCATGTGTCGTTTCGCGAGACCCGCAAGTATCGCTCGCAGGATGACTCTGTCTCCTCCAGAGTCCTCCAGAGTCCTCCTGGGGTCGCCTGGCTGCCAAGCGGACGTGGAAGACACCCACGGGCACTGTCCGCCATCTCATCCTCCCTCTGTACGATCAGCGCAACTCTCTTCTTCTCCTGGTACGGACGACCTCACGCCTTTCCCGACACGTGGACCTGTTGCGCAACCGGTGGATATGGACGATCAAGGTCTTCCGAGGCCTAGAACTCCAGGCTTGGCGATGATCTTCCTTTTCCCCCTCACTCATGAATCGCCGGGCTTGCGGCCTTTCTGTCCATCTCCACTGCCGTGGCCACCCCCGAGAACGGGGCAGGCTGGCAGGCAAGCGGGTGACAAAAAAAGTGATACGCTAAGAGTGAGCTCCCCCAGTAAAAGTGTATCACTTTTTTTGTCACCCGCTTGGCAGGCTCCGGTACTCCGTGGAAAGCAGGGCAGCAAGTGCAGTTTGTGCACCCGCAGTGGATATGGCGATCCATTTTGTGCCTCGCACAGGTGGTGTCATTCAGCACCGGCCGCCCGCAGTGACCCTCATTTAAACATTGAAGCCAGGAGGGCGGACGGGGGTGGTTACGAGACAGACCATCCGCCGACGGCGCGTCTTCATTCGCCCGTGCGTGGTCCTCAACCCCTTCCTGGCCTCCTGGCGCCGTTGCGTGGGAACGGCGGCGACCGACAGGGGCCAACTTGAACATCTCGCGCGGGCTTGCAGGGACTGCTGAGGGACGGGACCCCTTCCTTCGGCCCTGAACGTGGCGGGCGATGGCCGCGGGACCGGGAACGCTGATCTTTCTCCGAGACCACCACGGTAGCGTGCCCGCTTCGAGGTCGGTCCAGGGCAGCATGCGGCGGCGGCGGCAGCAGCACCATCGTCGGGCCGCGTGGTCGACGGAGGCCGTTTTGTTGTTGCTAACTGGACGGAGCAGAGAGACAGCTCTCGTGAACGCCAGCTGCCACGATCATGTCACGCTGCCTTCGTATCTTGTTGCCATTTCCGATGGCAGACGATACAAGCAGGTACAGGAAGCTGGCGGGCCATGTTGCTTTTGGCGTTTCAATGCGGAGCCGGCCGCAGAGGCTTCCTCGACTCAAGTACCCTGCCCGCGTACCGACAAGTACCTCCTCCGCTGCAAGGGCTCTTATTCAGTGGTGAGAGAGCACCCACACTCAGAAGCGCCCTCGATGACAGCCAAACACCGGAGACCAAGCTTCGAATGCAAGTCCTTTCTTTGTTTCTCCCGCACCTCGGAGGGATGGCCTCCATCGTCGGGGCCCCGGAGGCCGGCCATTTGCTGGGCCTCTACAATGTTTGGACAAAGGCCGCCCGATCGACAGATGGCCACGATGGTCGGCCAACACCACCTTGGCACATCTTTTTTCCTCCTTTGAAGTCACGGATCGAGCCGTGTACCGCGAAGGAAGTGATCGCCCACAGGATTCCTGCGCGCCTCTCGCGCCCTCGGCTTG